GCTAAGATGTGCAAAAACATTGCAAGCATCTCCTCAACAGATACATTTTTATGCTTGTCAAACCTCCATTCTCACATAGAAGCTTGCATAATCTTCTAAACGTTTCTCTATCCATTCTTAATTGTGCCACTCACTTGATATCACTCTCGTAAACCAAATCAGACAAGTGACCTAATTGTTGTTAAACCCTTATAACCATCGTTGGACTTCGTATCCTTCATTCATAATAAATAGAAACATAGTTACACATAGCAGCACATACAACCATAATCATTTGTAACATCATAACTATCTCTTTTATCACTACAACCACTATCTTCTTTCGTGCTAAAAGTCGAGACATGATTACTCTACATTATCAACATATAAAATTAAATTTAGCATTGCATTGCATATTATAAAAAATAGATATCAACTTAGGATATAGATGTGAAAATGAACAACAATAGGCATAACATAAGAATCAAATTATAAAAAAGAAAGAAAAGAAAAAAATCCATAACACTAATAAAAGTTTTTATAATTCTTATTACTTTTCTGGAGACTTGTATTCATAAAACAACATGCAAATTATATAAAAAAAGTAATACCATGACCAGTTTGTGCAGTTGCAATAAAAAACAGTAAAGTACAACTTTAATGGTGTTAGATTCTTGACTCTTTTGTAAAGATACAAAACAACAGCCAAGATATGAACTGATCTGTTTTCCAATCTATTTTCCAACAACCCATGTTCCTAAATCCTATTTTCTTATTCAAAGAGAACCTCATTTCAGAAGCACAGTTTTTTTTTTTTTTTTTTACTCTTCTCTATTTGTTTTTTAGATTTCGAGACTTCACTGAGCAGTTTTTATTTTCTCCACCTTTAGACTAATCAATGTTTTCAACCCAATTACACTGGAAATTTTGCAAACCAAAAGAAATCAAACAATGGTGAAACTGGAATCAACGTGTTCAAAAAATAAAAACAAAAAACAAAAACAAAAAAACAAAACAAAAACAAAAACAATGGATGATTTGTGGCCTACCTGAAAACTGAAAAACCCCTAGATGGGAGGTGCTATGAAATGAATGATTTGTGGCTCCAAAACAATGGCAAAAGAGGGGACGATGAATGACTGAGAGAGAAATGGGGAAATAAACCCTAGAGAGGGAAATACCTTGAAAGCTCTTCTTCTTCTTCTTCATGTTTCTAGAGAGAGAGAGAGAGATTTTGGAGCTGAAATTGTAGAGAAGAATTAAGGGTAAAATCATAATTTATATTTAATATCAGGATTGAGAGTGACAATCCGGTGGGGGTTAAGGGGAGTGCCAATCCCATTCCTCAACCCTAAATTGGTGTGGGACTCATACATTCTCACTCTCATTCTAGAATATAAATGGGTAAGTAAACATTGAGTTGATTCTGAATCCCAATTCTCATTCCTCACTCCTGATAAGTAAACATAACATCAATTCATTAATCTTAAGTTTTCAAAGGTAATTTCACTCCCTCTCCCGAGTGCTGAGCAAAATAGTATGCAAAACTCACTTAAACAATATCCTTATTAGCCTAATCAAATCAAGCATCCATTAAGCAACCTAATTTTGATTATCTAAATTAATTGGCCCCCCGGACTCAACTAACTTTAAGTTGTGTTTTCTCAATTCCAACATGTGAAAATAACTCTTTCGAGCCTAAATCCATGCATATTTGTCTCTAATTTATGAAAACACAAATTAGAGCAATTAACATAGAGAAACACAAAGGAATTAAATAGAAATCAAACTAACAATTGATAAAATATTCAAAATATAGTTCAAACAAGGTTACATCAAGTCCTGGAATAATAATCTAGCTCAACATAGAGAAATCCATAACCAAAAACAAAATCTAAAAACTAAAAAGAAAATAAAGGGAGAATGAACAACTATGTTAGAAGAATGATCTTATAAGCTTGAATCCACCATCTTCTGTAAGGATCTTCAATGAAATCATGGGATTTGAGCCTCCAAAGTTCCTTATTCTCTAGGGATTTTGTTCGTCTTTTTCCTCTCTTCCTCTCCAATTTTGGAAAAATGAATCTTCTCTCCTTTTATATCTCTCCAAATCAACTCAAATTGATAGCATTTCGTGTCTGGACCTTAACAACGACATAATAAAAGCAACAACTAAATGAAATGGATGACTACATGAATAAGTGACAAAAAATGAAATAAAAGAGGGCATCCAAAAGAAACTAAATAAAAAAAATGCGGCAAGAAACCTTAATATTCACATCAAAATATATAGTATAATTCATTTCCTAGAATATTAAAAGCAGATTATGAATGTAATTAGAACTTTTTTTTTCATTTTATGCATCGTATTTTAACCTTATACAGAATAGGAAGTTCATTGCTTTAAACAGAAAGCCTCTCTCATCGTTCTCCTTAGCGATCTCCTCCCATCTGGCTCTTCACCACCCCTAAAATCATCAAAAGTATGTACTCAAAGTTCCCAAACCCTAGAAATCGAATCGCTCATTTGACAGAGGAGGAAGCTTCTGCTTGTCGGTTTCTCTTTTGAACTATAGTGTGAGTTGTGTCCCACCATCTCGTTTGGTGTCACCCCCATTAAGTTCTGAAAGAGATTTTAGATCTAGAGTCGAATATTTCTTTTTATTTTTTAATACAAAACGAGATTGATTCCGCAAATCTCCTTCCAAATCCCATCCATACAAACCTTTCGGTGACACTAGATCAAATGATTTTAAGCTATGACCGGATATTGTCCTCTTTTTTTAATTTTATGTTTTTATAATTTTTAATAAATTTGAGGCATGTTTACTTACTAGGATTAAAGAATGAGAGTGGAAAACATGAGTTAATCTCATGTTTACTTACTCTTTTTTATACTAAAATGGGAGTAGGATTGGTGTGCCCCACTTAAATTTGATATTGATGAATGAGATTAGCACTCTCATATCCCCCTTAGAATTGGGACTCATATTCCTGATATTAACATTAAATTACTATTATATTTATATTTTACTTATAAATATTAAATGAAAAATAAATTCAAAAAATAATAATTACAACCTATATTTATTATTGGGTACTTGGCGCGAATGGTTTCCAAACTTGTCAAAAGGTGACAGTTTGATCCCCAAACGTTTTTTTTTTTAACGAAACAAGGCCCAAAGTATTTAAAATGGTACAATGTCGTCCTTTTTGTTAAATGTTATTAAAAAACAAGGACTAAATCCTAACATATTAAAGTCATTGGGACTAAAAAATCACCCAATAAAGAAATAAGGGACCATAATATCACCCTTTTAAGTTATTATGCCGTTACTTTTTAGAAAACATCTGACGGAAAGAACTACATTGCACATTTTTAAATAGTTTGGGATTCGTTTCGTCAAAAAAAAGTTTAGGGACAAAACTATTACCTTTTAAAGAGTTTAAGGATCATTCGTGTAATTTACCCTTTATTATTTTATTTGCCTGAAATTATAATATTAGCTTAATTATTGTTAACTTTAATACAATAAATATGTACTTTATTTGTTTAATAAATTAATGATATATTTTAATTTTTAACACTATTTTTTATTTTTATTTATTTTATTTAAATTTTAACAATTTATTTTTATATGTTAAATAATTATACAATTTATATTTATTATTTTATTACCCTATTATTACACTTAATATTTTAATTATGATTAATTTTAATATAATTAGTACACAATTTATTTTTTAAATTAAAAATATAAAATTAATTTAAAGGGTATATTAGTATTTTTACACTATTTCACTCTGATTTTAAGTGTAAGTAAAAGCATATTTGGAGTGACTCCGAGTCTCTGATTTTGAATTTTGTCACCAAGTAAATAACTTATTCTGACTCTGATTCCTCACTTTAAATCCTACCCTCCCCGGATCCTACCCACTCTGATTCATGCTCATTTCGATTACACGTAGGTAAACAGGCCATTGGTGTGTACAAGTTCACTTAATGAATAGTGAGCTAGGGTCCTGTTAATTTCACAATTTGAATCAAACTCAAACTTTTTACTACAATGTTTTCACTAATAAAAATTAAATTTAAATTTTATATATACAATATTTTTCTCTCACATGAATTGACTTTTCAAGCCAAGTTCTCAACTCGAACTCACGGAAGGAATGAGCCTTTAATTTTTTTAACATCAGATGCAAATAGGAGTGGCAATTTGTGTTACGTGTCGTGTTTGTATCGTGTTTTGATCGTTTCTTCTTAAATTTACAGTCAACCCGAACACAACCCGTGATACGAAATTTTTTAAAAACTGTAACACGACCACTTTACGGGTTGACACGACAAGACATGAAAATGACCCGTGAGACAAAATTGACCCGTGAACCTGAAATTGACACGAAAATTATATATTTTTCTTTAGTTTTTTACATATTAAAAATAACTTAAAATTCATAACACACTAAAATACAGTAACATCCATTAAAATTAAGCAAATAATAGTATTAGATTTTGAGTATAACTATCATGATATCACAAGTTCATAATAAAATCTAAAATATGTAATGAAAAATATATTTTAGTTTTTTATGAGTTTTGTGTCGTGTTCAGGTTAGGTGGGTCCAACCCAAAATTGACTAGTGTTTTTTGTGTCAATTTCAGGTCGACTCAATTCTGACTCGAACTGTTTTTGTCAACCATAATCCTCAAAATTTGTGTTATTTTTTAATCGTATTATTATGTCGTGGCTCATATTACCGGTCCTAGATGCAAATCTATTGGACAACATCACCAATGAGGAAAAAGTGCCTCCGTCAGGGTAGTTTTTAAGGTTTTGCTAAAGCTTATTGCTTTCTCTCAAAAAAAAAAAAAAAAAAAAAAAAAAAAGGAGAAGAGAAAAAGCGGAAAAAATGATAATCTCAAAATGTAAAAATAAAAATGAAAAGAAAAGAAAAACCCTAATTAGATAATAAGATAAAAAAAATAAAAAAATAAAATCTGGGGATTGAGATACTTCTTCCCGACAACAGATTTCATCAGCGCAAAGCCGCGAACTGTGAGTTTCAGACTAAAATCTCCATCAAACTGTACCAGACGTTCTCTTTCAAAATACCTGAATCGTTCCCCTGGTACGGTCTACAATATATTTTGGATTTGAAATATATTTCTCCCGCATTCTTTGGACCCTAGTTTCTCTGTACTGTTCTTAATCGTAGATCGTAACTTCAAGTTTGGGGAGTTCAGAGTCAATACAGCACAGCCTTTTAAAAAATCTCCGATAATAATCTTCTTTCAATTGCATTTGCTTTCAGAAATTTGCTCTACGAAGAAGCTCTGACTGGATTCTGCTGGTAAAAAGGAAAAGAACCAGTTATGGCGCTTTCCTTCGATTTGCAGGACTTTATTCTCCGTGCTCGGGTATTGAAGCTATATAGGCAAGCGCTGAGGACCACTCGAAGAGCCCCTGTTCATGCTCGAGGTTAAAATTTCTCTTGAAACTTCTTCTTCCCCACAATTTTTAGGACGAAATTTTGGATGTTGAAGCCATTTTTTCCCGAAAAAATTATTGGCCCCTAAGATTTAGAACTGTGAATGGAAGAGGCGATAATAGATTTCTTATCCCCTAATAAATTTAGAATTGTTCATCTGTTTCTTTAGTTTTAGTTAAACTTTTGTTTGCAGAACATATTCATTATTATGTATTAGATAAAACTTGTATGATTTTTCCCCGTTAAGCAGCTTAAAACACAAACTAGTTCTTATCAGGAACTCTGTTGAGAAATGCAGAACATTCTCATGTTTTGTGGTGGATTTTACAATCATGTTGATGTCTTCAGAACAATTCTCTAATTACTAACGTGCAGATTCTTTCCTTGTGAACAGCGGAACTACGGCAGACGATTAGACAGGAGATGGAGAACAACCGGAACTGCAATGACAAGCAAAAGATTCGTTTTTTTATTAGCGAAGGATTAGAGAGACTGAAAGATCTTGGTGAGATGTTAGATATGCAAGGTCACTCTTAGCGGGGGTACAGCTGCCTTTTTTCCCTTTTCTTGATGAATCATGGTTACATTTTAATGCGTTGATGATTTGATTATTTTGTTGAAACCATGGTACAATTTCAATTTTCATTTATATAAAATTGCTGAATTTCCATCAAAATTTCATCATCAAAGAAGAATGCAATACAGTTACAAAACTCATGATAAAGAAAGATGAGTAAGCTAATTCTACAATGGACGGGTTACAAATCCTCTAGCGACCATTTTCTCCACCAACTCCTCATGCTTCTTCAACTGCCCTGCCTTCCTCAGCTGCTCCAAAACCATCTCATAAACAGGAAAACTCGGCTTCAGGCACTTCTCCTCAATCATCTCCCTAAAGAACCTGTAGGCATTATTCCAATGCCCCATCCCGCAAAACATCACGATCAAAACCCGATAAGTGTTCACATTCGGCTCAACCTCACTCTCGTCCATCTCCTCCTTCAACTTCAGAACCATATCCATAGACTTCGATTCTGCAAACATTTGCATCAACACATTGTAAGTCACAGTGTTAGGCTTGCACTTCAATTCCTTCATCTTGGCATACATCCTATGAGCAGCATTCACGTCCTTCAACTTCGCAACCAGCCTAAATATCGGATTAAATGTCGACGAATTCGGGTTGCACCCTTTCTTAACCATCAAGTTAAGCACCTTAGCAGCGTCATCAAGATTCTCATCCTTGCAATGACAATCCACCAGAAAATTATACGTAATCACATCGGCTTCGCATTTCAGCCTCTTCATCTGATTAAACACCTGCAAAACCTTTTGAGTCCTTCCAGCCTTGACATGAACACGCATGAGATTATTGAAAGTAACCGCGTTTGGTTGACATCCAACGTCGATCATCTCCGAGAAAACATCATGGCCACGCGTGATTTGCCCACACCTACACAACGCGTCAATGACAATAGTGTAAGTGTAGACATTAGGCTTAATACCCGCCTTTTTCATTTCGCTGAAAACGCTCTCGGCCTCGGAAATATTGCCCGCACGACACCAACCGTGGATCAAGTTTGTGTACAAAACGACATCCGGCTCAAACTTGTCCTTCAAGCCATCGAAAAACGACTGCGCTTCGGTCGCTCTTCTTTTCTTGCACAGATTACTGATCACGACAGAGAAAGCAATCTTATCAGGCTTACAACCGTAATCGTCCATACGGTTAAAAGCGTGCACCGCCTCCGCAGCGAATCCGGCCCTTACGTAGCGGCGCACGAGGATCGAGAAGGTCTCGATAGTAATTTCCACGTTCCGGGTCTTCATGAGATCGAGCACGTGCCAGGCCAGGTCGAACTGCCTCACCTTCCCGGCGAGGTCGACCAGCTCGTTGTAGGGCTCGGGGGACTGGCCCAACCTGTCTTGGGCCGTGGCCCAGTTGAAGAAGGCCAGGGCCTGGAGGACCGGGATGCCGTGTCGGACCCCACCGCATTTCTCGATCACGCGGCGGACGATGCCCGGGGAGAGGGAGTGGACGGCCGAGATTTGGGAGAAGTCGAGAGAGAGAGAGGGGATTGTGAAGTTAGGGTTAGGTGGAGAGGGGTTGGAGTCGGGGCTTGGGTTTTTCCGGTGGTGCCCTTTGATGAGGGAGTGAAGTTTGTCGGCGATTAGGGTTTCTTCGGGGGATAAGCTGGAGGAGGTAGGGCCAGTTTGGGGATTGTCGTTTGTGTCCTCCTCTGAAAGATGTGCTTCCGAGGAAGATGAAAAGAAAGCGTAAAGTCCCAATTGGAGCTTAAAGGGAGAAGAAAAGAGGTTGGGAAAACGAAGCTTTGATTTGATTAGGGCCATTTGGGTTTCAACAGAAACAGTGGCGGCAATAAGGAGAGTGAGAGGACTGAGGAGTTAGCAGCGAAGGAGACGGAGAGGCGCCACAATATTATTAGTGGAGTTTTGCTTTGGTACGACGGCGTTTTCCTTTCCTTTTTTTTTTTTGTTCTATCAAAATTATATTCATGCTGCTGCCAGATAACATTTGGCCCGTTTAATAACAATTTCAAAATAATTTTATTTTCAGTATAAAAGTAAAAATAAATTATTTTAAGAATTATTTTGAAATCAATTTTGAAATTGTGTTTAGTTAGTTTTTTAAGAAATTATTTTGAGTATAATAAAAAAAAAATTTTAATTATAATTATTAATTAATATATTATAACATTATTGATAAGTATTAAAAAAATAAAAACAGAAAAAGAAAATAATTTTTAACCATTTTTAAATTTTTTTATAAAAATTATTCTCACTGTTTTTTATTTTCATTTTCGTTTTTAAAATATTTGTTAAACAAACACGATTTACAGATCATTTTCATTTATATCTTAAAAGACGCGTAAAAATATTTTTAAAAATAATCTAAAATCAATTCTAAACGCACCCATATACTCAATATATGTTGTATTTTTGTTTTTGTCGTCTTCATTTTTTATGTCGTTTCCTTATTATTATAACGTTTTAGGGTTTTGCCTTTTTTATAGTTAATGTTTTTTTTTTTTTTTTGGTAGTTTGTCGCTTATGATTGGTGTCATTTCAAAAAAAAGATTGGTGTCGTTTGAGATTGTTATCGTTTTTTATGTTAGACTTTTCTTTTTAGCTTTTTCGGTTTCTTTTCTTCCCCCTCCAGTTATTGTTGTTTAATATTTGTTTTCGTTTCTTCATTTCGTATCGTTTTTAAGGTCATTGTCGTTATAGGTTTTATACCGTCGTTTTCTGATTTGTCATTTCTGTATTTGATGTCGGTTATTGCCTTATAGGTTCTAATTTACTGGCCTCTACTTTTGTTGTCGTGTTTTATAGTTAAATTTTAGGTGATCTTGAACTTTGAGATTATTTCCACTTTGTTTTTAAATTTTGAAAACTCACGTTGTTTTTTAAATTTTCAATTTGCCTCATTTAAGCTCTTTTATAAGAATTTTTGTTAAAATTAGACGAAAAAATTGAGAATTAAGTGTGGTTATATAATTTTTATTTATTTATTTTTAATAGAAATTCATATAGAAAGGATACATGACTGCGTTATTTTTTTTTCTATTTATTTTTAACAAAAATCATAACATAAAGATTAAGTGTGAACAATTTAAAGTTCAATGAGCAAAAATTGATAACTTTTAAAATTTAGGCAACAAAATGAGAATGACCCAGCACTCCTTGATGATAATGTAATTTTTATTTTTATTTTTTGCCTCCTTTTTGTTGTCGTTTGTAGTAAATGTTGTTTCATATTTATTGTCGTTTCCCATTTTACATTTTTAAGGTTTTCAAGTAAATGAAGTTTTTTTTTTTTTTTTTCTTTTTTGAGTCGTTAATAGCTCGTTTGGCTTTTCTTCCTGGAAGTCTTCCAGAGTTCAAAAGTTGTTTTTGTCATTGTTTTTAGTCAGAAGGGTTTCTAGTTAAAGTTAAAAAATGTTGCATCTCAAAAAGCTCTTTTAAGAATACTTGATATTTTTCATAATTATATTGTATCATTTTCAATATTCATTAGAAAATTTTAACATACTTTTTTTTTGTTCCATTAAGCAGTATAAAAAATATGGTTTTCAACACTTATGCTTACCAAATCGTAAAAGAATGTAACGAGAAACGTAATAGGATTGGAAAGAAAAATAAAATAATAGAATTAAAAGTTATTCATTCCCTTTCAAGTATGGTGTAATGGAAAATAATCTCATTTCCTTTCTTAGGTTGACTAAAATTAGGAATAATAATGTTATGAATGTAATCACTAAAATGTCATTTTACACAATTTTATAACCATTAATTATATAATAATTTATTAATAGTAGATAAGTAAATTTAACATTCATTCACTTTAACAAGAAATCAATACTAAAAATGGTACAATAATTGACATTCACTTTCTTTATTTCTTATATTGCGTGAGGCCCATTAAATTTCATTACTAATTTTGTACGTGAACACATTATTAAATAGAAAGAGAGTCATTAGAGAAATGCAAAGTAACATACCTTGATGAAAAGTCGAAGACTTAAAGCTTTTAGGCCCCGTTCATTTTACCGATTCGAGTTTAGAATTTAAATTTGAGAAATAGTGGAAAATAGGCCAATATGAAAAGCTTAAGAAAGTATATAGGCCAATTTTTAGTTATAAAAATTAATAGGCCGTAACTTGTCAAGTTATGGTTCATAACCAGATAAGTTATGGACAAACTTGTCAAGTTATGGTTCATAGCCAGACAAGTTATGGATAATTATGGACAATAACTTGTCAAGTTATGGTTCATAACCAGACAAGTTATGGACGAAAACAGTAATTTGACCTATTTATTAACTTATGTAAACTATTGGCTTATTAATTTTAATTCATCTCAAGTCTTGGCCTATTTCCCTATTTCTCCCTTTGAATTTTGCTATAGTAAAAAGTTCTCAGAAACAGTCACATTTAATTTTTTTGTTACAGTAAAAAACTTTCATATAAAGTCATATCTCAACTCGAATTAAAAACTCGAATCAATGAACTAAACACCCTTACTTTCATTCTTTTATTGCTTAAAATTTGAAGGTAAAATAATGCTAAATGAGCATGCCAGTCATCGTGTTTAGTACAAAATTAAATTACGCTCCAATGGCAATCAGTTTCTTCCAAATTCCTTTTAAGGAAATGATACTCACCAAACGCCCTTCCCAAATTGTACAATTCTCTTAATTAATGTTCTTATCCATCATAATTCCCTTGCTAATAACAATTCAGCAATGCCAGCTGTTTTTCAACACATGCAATAAATATATTCAAACAACAATCCTTGTATGGCTTCTTTTTCGAAATCTTGGTTACCATAGATGGCTGCATTCCTAGGAGAAATTCATTTAAGCAAGAAATTTTGGCTCACTTCATTGCCAAGTCCCAGAAAATACCTTCAACATCTCAATTCTCCATATATTCTAATAATTTCCTTTGCAAAACTTCTCTATTAAAAACAAAAAAACAAAAACAAAAACAAAAATAAGATCAAAAGAAATAATCGTCTCCATTCATTCAACGTAGAAGTAGTTGTAGATGGTTTCTTCTGAGAGTACTCCACGCTTAGTTACATTAGAGGAATTGGTGCCACTTTGTCCATGGAAGACTCCGGCACCGCCATTCCCAGGAAATCAAAAAGGGCAATATGTGAAGGTCAAGAAGCCGCTGCTAAGAGAAGGAACAGAAGTGTTTTGGGCTCCAAGGAGATTATTGCTTAATGAAGATGAAGATATTGAAGGTTTGGTGGTTCCCTTTGTAGGCTTATTCGAGTTCTGTGATGCTTGTATTATCAACAACGTCAAGAGATGGATTGATAGGCTTCTTGGTCAAATTTTCAGCTTACCCAAGTATGATGTTTCCAATAAACGGATTTTAGAAGACTCGTTATAATTGTGAATATATCCTCCCTTTTTTTCCTTTTTTTTTTTTTTTTTGTCAATTTTATGTGACATGAATGATCCTGCTATTTCAGTTTTTTCTTATTGTTTTTTCATGTTAGGGCTCTTAATCTTGGGTTTATGTTCATGTACACAGATTTCAGCACCAAAGAAGGGTGAGAAACAAAGAAAAATGCAGTTTATTTTCTTAGATAAATTTATTAACTTCCTGAAGTTGTTCTTCCTACGAGTCCGGTTATTTTGAATTAGAGATACGATGATATTTATATTTTTTTTAAAAGATATGATGGTAATTGAATAAATAACTACTGATAATTATTTGAAACAGTGATTATCTAATTAACTGAATTTAAAATGACGCGCATAAGTAGAGGTGTGCTTTCAGGCAAGGAATCAGTAAAAACAGGTGCAAACAAATCAATGGAAAAGTAATGCTAAAAAAAGATATAAAATAAGGGTGTATTTATGATGGATTGACGGGAAGGTTATCTTGTTCCGTTGGTAGAAATTATGTTTTAATGGTAGTTTCTCAAAAGTTTAAATTGCAGTATGAGTAATTTTATGTCACTCATGTAAATTTTAATGTGAATATGTACAGATATCATCATTAAAAATTAATCTAACAATTAAAAAATAAAATATCATTCTCCATCATAATAATTCTTAAAAATTAAATAAAAAACAATTGCTATAAAGTATAGCTGTAGTTGAGCATAAAAACAGTGCATTTACTTTACATTAAAGGGAAAGGAAAAGGAAAAGGGAAAATGAATAAATTTATTTTCTCATTCAATAATATGTTTACTTACAAAAATAAAAAATTAATATTTAGTGGGTCCCACATAATATAGAGAAGGAGAAATGTGTCAAATACTCTTTAAAGTGTATGAATCTAGATTTTTATATTAAAATGCATAAATCTAGATTTTTACTTTTTACTTTTGATTAATATTCTTTTTAAAGAGTATTATCAAACACAAGCACTCTAAGAATAATTTTAATAATTATCTCTATAGAGTGAGAAAGAGAATACCAATTCTTGAATCTCCCTTAATATTAATTTCTTTTAATAAAAACCACAAATTTACTTATTTACCCTTAAAAATATTATAAATTAATAATTATTTAATTATGTAAAAAGACATTTTAATAAGTACATTGACAATATTATTTTTCCTAATTTTGATAAATATTAGAAAAGCAATGAGATTATTTCACATTATATTATATAATAGTTGAGTGAATACTTGAGAGTGAATCAATGATTTTTACTCTTTATTTTGTTTTCCATCTTATTATCTTTCTCATTATATTTTTTGCGGTTAGATAAAGGTCAAGAGTCAGAAAATGAGTTAGAATTTTCTATTAAAAAAGAATCTCGTTCATTTCATCAATTCGAGTTTAGAATTCGAGTTTTATTACAGTAAAAAGTTCTTAAAAACAGTCACATCTAACTTTTTTACTACAGTAAAAAACTCTCACATAAAGTCATATATCAATTTAAATTAAAAATTTAAATCAGCGAACTAAACAGACTCAAAGTGAGTTGGAATTTCATTGTTTTGATGAGTCGGAGCGTGTCCTTTTTTTTTTCGGGTGATAAATAAAGATGTTTGCTTGAATTTTTTGAGAATGAAAAAAAAAAGGTGGATTAAAAGAGATTTAAAGTTCAAAAAAAAAAAAAGTGTGTTAAAAGAAAATCAACGCAACATAATAGAAGGAAGAAGGGGCTCTTCGAGAAGTATCCAGTCAAAACTTAGCTCTAAACATGGTGCAGCACACAATACGGTAAACGCAAGGAAAACCAAACCGCTATTGTTTCGATTCACGAAAACGAAATTGCCGAATTCACGAAAACGAAATTGCCGAATTCTTTTTGCCTAGAGATCTTGGAACCTATAAATACCATTACTGCCCTTGAAGTTGAAACGTCCCGAGCGCGATTAAACAATTCAATTAGATTCTGATAGAGTTTCGTGCCTAAATCACTCAATCAGAGAGGTTTTAGGGCGGAAATTTTCAAAAATCAGAAGGAAAGGCCTCGTTCTTGCCATAGAAGCTAGGGTTTTCGATTCTCCGGTCGAGCTTTTCAGGGAATTCGAGCCCCTCCAACAATGGCGAAGGGGCGTTATACTCGGTTGCACGGTAGGAAATGGTCGACGTTCACGCTCGTCTTCTCGATTCTGTTCATGCTATCGGTTGTCCTTCTGATGCTTTTGGCTCTCGGAATCGTCTCTCTTCCGGTGAGCTCCGACGATTCTCCGCCTAACGATCTGAGCTCATTCAGGCGCAGGATTGTCGAGAGGTATGCATTCTCCTCGTCAATTTGCGATCGCGAAGAGATTGATCTGTTTGGAACTAGTGCGAATTAGGCTTTTAAGCGATTGAGATTATGATTTTTTTTTTTATTTTGGTTGCAGAGGTGACGAACTGGGGAAGAGAGAAGAGCAGTGGACCGAGGTTCTCTCTTGGGAGCCAAGAGCTTTCATATATCATAATGTTTTGGTACGGTTCCTTCTTCTTCAGTTTATATTTCTTTAATCAGACATAGGTTAAGAACGATATGTTTTGATTTCTCTGTTTGTTTAATTGCGTTTCGGTTGAGTTTAATTTGATGATATTATCATTTCCGAGTCAATGACGTTGATTTGTCTATTGGTTCTGTCTAATTATATTCCTTAATAGTGCTTGAAGCTACTCTCATTTGAAATATTGTATTCGACGCTTTAGATTGTATGAAATTGTAGATCGGTCAAAGGTAACATAAATTTTGTAAAATTGTAGACAGATAAAATCCTAAGGGAAAATTTCCAGGCTGCAGGGATTCTGATTGGATATTGAGGTTTTGACACGTGTGACTTGGTAGGGAATACGCCTGTGCATTTGCTGCTGCTAGTTAATCTTCATATGTGTTTTATCACGAGACGATTCCAATGGAAAAACAATAATCTAAATAGAACATTGCTTTACTCGGGTTAACTATAACTATATTCTGTAAATAAAAATGTTATATGGATGCTTCTTTACAAGAAGAAAAGTTGAAGTAGTTTTGGACTAATTTACTAGGAAGGTCTGTTCTCTTTTTCACGTCCTGGCAATACAACCGTAGATGTAAAAGCATCATTATCACCTAGTTTGCAAGTTGCCTGGTGAACCTTTGAGCAATTTTTTTGAGGCGGTTTCAAGATTAGATAAGTATTTCGAACTGTTTCACCTTGACGTTTTTTAACACCAACACTATGTGTTTTCTTTGAGGTGTCTGTGGAATATATTCAGTCTGAACTCTGACGACACTAGTTATTGCTGTCATTTTGAACAGTCCAAGGAAGAATGTGAATACTTAATTAGTATTGCTGAACCACATATGGTGAAATCAACTGTTGTTGATAGCAAGACAGGACGAAGCAAAGATAGCAGGTATGCATTTTCATGGTTCCTTTTCCACTTGGCTGTAAATTAGATCTGATAAAGAGTTTCAGGTGTGTTGTTGTTGGTGCTGTAAGAACTATCAAGGAAAATTGAGATTTGATCTATAGTTGTTTTTTTCTTTTTTTTTTTTTTTTTTTTGGCAATCAAAGACTTGATCTATAGTTGTAAGCTGAAACCCCATGTCTCTTTTGTATGCAGAGTTCGTACTAGCTCTGGCATGTTTCTCAAGAGAGGACGTGATAAGATAATAAGGGATATTGAAAAAAGAATAGCAGACTTTACTTTTATTCCTGTAGGTATGAGATTAGACAATACGTATTTGCACTTTGTCTTCTATCAACTGAAATTTGCACAAGTCCATGTCTAGGAATTGTATGGACAAAACTTCATTTTGATTGAAATTTTCTTGTTTTTCAATCAAACCTTCTACTTCTTTACAAGAAAAGGCGAAAAAAGAGCTTCTTTATGTCCTTTTTTATTGTTGCCTAACGTAATATGTAAATAGATCGAGTTGAAATGAGCATTTTTAGTGCTATTGGACATGTTCATCTGTTTTAACCTTTTCTTCTCTAAGAGCTTTATATGTTTCTGACTTGATAAAATCTCGTTGATGGTAGGCATTATTGCAACTTATAGGGTTGCCGGTTTATGCATTTGATGTACTACCAGCAAGGTCACGTGTAAATCTAGCATTCTGTTAGTTTCACTTTGGTCCCGCTATCACATCTAATTTATTTGTCTTCGCAATTCAGAGTTCCTGCTGTGCATTTCATTTGATTTCCTCTCCATTCTCGTCTCTTTGATTTTGTTAGGTTCTAATATTCTATAATATACTCCCAGTTACTGTAGGCTTTTGTTCCTGAGTAATAATCTAAATCTAGTTTTTATCAGACGAGCAAATCCTTGCATCTAAGAGGATCAAATTTTGTCTTATAAGTGGACATGTAGACACTTTTCCTTGTTAGTTTCGTTTAAAAGAGAGAATCGACTACTATAATAGTTGTAATTGATGCAGTAACTTGGTTTACTTCCTTGTTCCATGCTTTTTACTGTATGGTGATGTTTTTCCCTGGTGTTTCTTTTCTATCATCTGGCTCTTATTCTCCATCTTTGCCTTTTGGCCTTTGGTGAATTAACTACTGCGTATAAGCTAACGCTATAATTTTCAGAGCACGGTGAAGGACTTCAAATTCTCCACTATGAAGTTGGCCAAAAGTACGATGAACATTTCGATTACTTCCTTGATGATTTCAACACAAAAAATGGAGGCCAAAGGGTTGCCACTCTACTAATGTATCTGTAAGATTGCTTCCCATCTTTTCCGCTGTTTAATGTATCTTATAAAGCAATTAACTTGGTCTCAAATGTGCCACGTTGGTCTGATCTTTTCTTTTGTCATTTCTTCCGCTGTTAATGTAGGTCAGATGTTGAAGAAGGCGGCGAGACAGTATTTCCTTCTGCTAAGGGAAACTTCAGTTCATTGCCATATTGGAATGAACTATCTGAATGTGGGAAACAGGGTCTTGCGGTGAAGCCGAAAATGGGTGATGCATTGCTGTTTTGGAGTATGAGACCTGATGCAACTTTAGATCCATCAAGTTTGCACGGTTAGCTATAAATACATTTCACAGACACTCAAATATTTCTATTCAAGAATATAAGGATCTACCCTTTTTTCCCGAACTGAATGATTCTTGATTTCTTATGGTATTTATGTTCTCTGACAGGGGGATGCCCTGTGATTAAAGGGAACAAGTGGTCTTCTACAAAATGGATGCATCTTGGGGAGTACAAAGTATAGGCGATAAAGGAAAGGTACTTAACTAAAAGTAGTTACTACCTTAGCGAGTATTGGCATAATGCTAATTGACAAAAGTAATAAACGTAAACGTAGATATCGTTTAGGTTTAAAGGTATTTTTTCCTATCCAAAAATCGTTTTCACTAGCTGGCGTGTCAACCATAATTTGCATTTTTATACCTGAAATTAATTTCAACCGCTTACTCAAAAGATATAAGATTCAAGATTTTTTGTCTCTAATTTAAATGAGATTTTAAAATGAAATTTCAAGAGTGCCCACGAATTGATATAATGGAGTATTGTTATCACTTTCCTATTACATGTTATAGATATTGCAAATTACTACAAAAGTGATAATTTTACAACATCAACGCTCCGATCCCATTAGAAAACTTTTCCTCTTTTTTTGGCATATACTATGATAAAATAATTGTTTTTTAAATCTCTTGTGGCGCTTCAACTAGTTTTTTCATTTCTACCTTGATTTACATGCAGGATCGCATTCAGAGGAGTCCTTTACGCAGATCATCGTGGATAAGTCTTGACCTTTCAGAAATTTCACCACCGAAATCTTTACAAATCAGATGTCAAAAGTTTTACGCTTCTGTAATTCTTTTACCTTTTGTCGATAATGAGTACATTTTTGTAAATTAACAAAAATAGGCTCTAGGATCCATTTAAAATTTTTTTAAAAAAAAAAACGAGAATAAGTTGTGATCTTCTTTAAGCAACGATAAACTCCCGGGAAAATGTGAATGGGCCGAAAATTTTGCTACAACGATGATAGTGAAATCATGGAACTTGAGCTCACCACATCTTTTGTTTAAGGTCCTTGTTTAAGATCCGCTAAGACTTTTTTATTTTTTGGCAAAAAAATCCGTTTGACTGGCTTTTTAAAGATCCAACGAATTTTTTTTTGGACCCCCTTACCAAGATTTTTTCAGCCCTTATACACTTCTTTGCAGAGGTTATTGTAGAGAAACCTGAGTCCTGATCAAATTAGAAAGAAATAAGTTGAACACAGTAATAATGCCACAATTGCAGCCAGAAAAAATGAAATCTACCAAAAAAAATTAGATTATTTTTCTTTAAATCGCAACCACAATGGCAATTGGCCAACTAGTTACTATAACGACATATATCACAAGTGTTTGGAGTTATTAGACCCAAAATTTCATTAATTCTTATTACAAGTACATGTCATCACACGATAGCGCGATAGTCTAAGAAGCATAAGCTTGTATTTAATAATTGGATGAAAAGCTAAAAGCTAGTGAGATTACCTTTTTTCGGTATGGCTATGGTCCGATATGTTCTGCGGGCATATTCTCAACTATTGATCCACTCTTGCGATGAAAATGTAGTTCACACTTCACTGTCATAACTTTCTATTCACCTGGTAGTGTCTTGCTTAAGGTTACCAAGAACGGACAATATCTAAGCAGAATGCTGCGGACAAACACTTACATGTCAGCGAAAATGGATACCACTTCCAAGTTAATCTCGAGGGATAAGACAAGTAGTTCCTTCCCGTAGAATCCTACTGTATTGCTTCTAACATTGTTTTTTTACTTTATTACTAAAAGCATAAACTGCAAAACGCTTGATTGTTTTATAAGGAGAAAATACCTTAACGTCGCCAAATTTTCGAAGTTGGCTCAATATCTCAGTAAAATCTGCAGGAGGTGGGCATGTAAACTGTATGTTCTTCTTTGTATATGGATGTGTAAACCTACAAAAGATTTGCCGGCATGGGTAAGGAATAAGCATTACTAAACATATCACTCGTCATTTGAAAAGGAAATATCATATCAAGTACAGGTCTTCACCCTACCCAAGAGCTAAAGCATGGAGACAAGGCCTCTTGAATCCAGAGACCAGCTTTGAGAGTTGACCATGACAGCTAGAGGGAGTTTTAGACCGAAGCAGTGACAAAGCCATGCTCTTCGCCCCTCCATACACCTCATCGCCTAATAGAGGAATACCCAAGTACTTCGCATGTGCACGTATCTACTTTGGAAACAGGGAGGAGCAACCGTGAGCGAATTATGCAGATGTTGAAGGGAGTGATGACAAAGCACAATAAAGTAATATAATTGATGCTATACTTGTCAACATTTCAGAAATAGGATACGTCTGCCAATTATAAACTTAAAAACCATCTGTGATTCCAAGTTGGTTCTAAAAATGTCCTAACAAAGACGGATCTGACAATCACATTGACGATGGCGTGATTAAAAAAAAAAATCCAAAAACCAATTATGTTGAAGCATCTGTGGCCGTTGATTAAAAGTTTTGAGTAGCTATCGTGGACAATTGAGTGTACAACATTAATTGTAATAGTCTTAAGTGTAATAATTGTTACAAGTGGGTTAGTCGGTGATGGCTTAGGTGTATAAAGCTAAGTAAGCGGTGTAAAGTCATTTTGTGAAGATTTTTGGGAATGAAATTTTGTATCTTCATTAATTTTCTGGATAGGAGAACGTACATATAAATAGCAGAGAAGAGAAGAAGAAAAAAAAAAACATTCCCTGTAATCAAGCGAATTAATGTGTGCTGACCTACTTAAAAGAGAAAACGGGAAACACCTAAAATATACTTCTATTCTAGGAAACATATCACACTAATTACAGCAATATAATACCAATTTACAGCTGTGAAATCCTAGAAACTAGGCAAGAATCTTCGGTTTTCCACACTCCCCCTCAAGCTAGGTTATAGATGTTGAGTAAACCTTGCTTGGAATTAAGATCCTCGAATGTCTTCTTTGGTACAGCCTTAGTTAGAATATCTGCAGTCTATTGAGTAGTTGGGATATACAGAAGAGATATTACGCCGGCCTTTATCTTCTCTTTGACAAAATGTCTATCAATCTCCACGTGCTTCGTCCTGTCATGAAGCACTGGGTTCTTTGCTATGCTGATGGCAGACTGATTATCGCAGAACGTTTTCATTGGTTCAGTGAAAGGGATTCTTAGCTCAAACAATATTCTTCTTAACCATATTCCCTCACAAATGCCGTGAGCAAGGGCCCCGAATTCTGCTTCTGCACTGCTTCGAGACACAACTGATTGTTTCTTGCTCCGCCAAGTAACCAAATTTCCCCAAACATAAGTACAATATCCTGAGGTAGATCGTCTGTCAGTTACTGATCCGGCCCAATCAGCATCAGTGAAAATTTCAATCTCCTTACTCGCAATCTTTTTGAAAAATAATCCAAGACCCGGTGTCATCTTTAAGTATCTCAGAATCCTGTATACAACCTCCATGTGTTCTTCTGTAGGATTGTTCATGAATTGACTTACCACACTCACAGCAAAGCTAATATCTGGTCTAGTATGTGTGAGATAAATAAGTTTCCCAACCAATCTTTGATATCTCCCTTTGTCAATCGGAGCCCCATCATTCTTGCTTCCCACCTTTATTGTAGAGTCCATAAGCGTGTCAGCTGGTTTGCATCCTAGCATTCCTGTCTCTTTCAAAAGGTCTAGTACATACTTCCGTTGAGAAATAGAGATTCCTCTTTTTGATCGTGCTACTTCCATGCCAAGAAAATACTTGAGATTACCCAAGTCTTTAATCTCGAATTCTTTGGCTAAGAAGTTCTTGAGTTTGAGTATCTCTTCATCATGATCTCCAGTTAGGATAATGTCGTCAACATACACAATGAGAATAGCCTTCTTCCCTGAGGATGAGTGTTTAACAAACATAGTATGATCGCCCTGACACTGATCATACCTGAACCTTTTAACCGCCTTAGTAAATTTTTCGAACCATGCTCTAGGTCACTGCTTGAGTCCATACAGAGATTTCTTGATTTTGCAGACTTTATTGTTGGTTGCTGAAGTGTCAAAACCTGGGGGTATCTCCATGTATACTACTTCTTCTAGATCTCCATTAAGGAAAGCATTTTTCACATCCAACTGGTAGAGATGCCAATCTAGGTTGGATGCTAGTGAAAGCAACACACGAATTTTATTGACAATGGCTACAGGAGCAAAAGTCTCCTGATAGTCAATCCCGTAAGATTGAGTGAATCCCTTTGCTACAAAGCGAGCTTTGAATCTGTTGACACTCCCATCTGCATTATGTTTTACGGTAAAGATCCATTTACAACCAACAGGACGTTTTCCTGGTGACAATTCAGATATTACCCAAGTTCTATTCTTTTCAAGAGCACTGATTTCTTCCCAAATAGTTGTCTTCCACTTTGGTACACTGAGAGCTTCATGTATTGTGCTAGGAACCTGTATCTTGTCAAGATTGCTAACAAATGCACGGTGACTAGGTGATAATCCTCCATAAGAGACAAAATTATAGATGGGATGATTAGTGCAAGACCTTGTGCCTTTTCTCAAGGCTATATGCCCATCAAGATCATTATCAGTAAGATCACTAGGAGCAGGACTGGGACTAGTGTTACCTGGTGAATTCTGAGTTTCTAGATTCGGATTGGATTCATGGCCTTGATCAGGTGGCTGCAGTTCTTTCCCTCCTTGAGTCTTGTTTCTCCTAGTATAGACACGTAACTCATTTGTTACAGGTTGTGTGAGACATTGAGTTGTTTGGAGTTCTGTTTGGGACTCAAGTTCGGATTGGACAAGAGGTATTGGACTCTGATTCTGATTTGGTGGAGGTAACTGGATTGGAGATGGAGTATGAGCACCGGAAGACTAACACATCAATAGCCCAAAACGGATATTCTTGAATAGATTTCTCCCCCTGAATATTGGTTTTGGGGTAATAAGGTTGTTGCTCGAAGAAAGTGACATCCATGGAGTTGTAGAACTTTCGTGTAACTGGAAAGTAACACTTATACCATTTTTTAATGGAGGAGTATCCGACAAAAATACATTTGAGGGCTTTAGGATCAAGTTTTGCTACGATGTTGTACATGTATGTGGACAAACACAGAACAACCAAAGACTTTCATTGGAAGAGTTGACAGGACATGGGTGTTAGGAAAGGAACGGAGGACTTGGTAAGGTGTTTGAAATTTTAGGACTCTAGAAGGCATCCTATTAATTACGTAAGCAGCTGTTAAGACTGCCTCCCCCCAGAAAAATTTGGGAACATGTGTGGTAAACATTAGAGACCAGGCAACTTCGAGAAGGTGTTTGTTTTTCCTTTCGGCAATACCATTTTGTTGGGGTGTGTCGACACATGAACTTTGATGGACAATGCCCTGATTTGCAAGATAATCACTCAAAAAAGTCTCAAAATATTCATTTGCATTATCAGTTTTCAACACTTGTATTTTGGTTTGGAATTGTGTCTGGACCATAGCGTTGAACTTCCTGAATATATTACCGACTTCTGATTTTTCTTTCATGAGAAACAGCCAAGTAATCCTTGTGTGATCATCGACAAATGAAATAAACTACCTAGTTCCAGTAATATTTTATATCTTAGATGGCCCCCACACATCACTATGAATCATTGAAAAAGGATGAGATGCCTTGTAAGGTTAGATGTGGTAAGAATTACGAACATGTTTGGAAATTTGACACACTTCACAAAGAAAGTCTTTTGGGTTTTTATTCATGAATAAGGATGGAAACAGTTTTTTGAGGTATATAAAATTGGGATGGCCTAAACGATAATGCCATAACATGATTACATCATTCTTATTGGAATTCTTAATAGAAATAGATTTTTCATTGGACTGACTTGTGGACTCAACACATACTGCATTGTGAGTTTGTCTTCTAGGAGATTCATCAACTTTGAGAAGATAAAGACCCGAGCACACCTTAGCACTGCCAATCATCCTCCCCAAATCCAAATCTTGAAATTCACACACATCCGAGAAAAATTTAGTAACACAGTTATGTTCTTGAGTGAGTTTGCTTACTGACAAGAGATTACAATCCAAATTGGAAACATGAAGGACTGAGTTTAGTGTTAGATCCTTTGAAATAACGATAGAACCTGTTCCAGCAACTTTAGAGTGGGATCCATCAACAATTTTTATTGTAAGATTGTTTTTGGTTGAACTGTAATTTCGGAAGAGAGTGGCATCTCCCGTCATACGGTCAAATGCACCGGAATCAACAATCCACAAACCTGTTTCTCCTGAATTTCTTTGCATCACCAGTGCAGCCCCATTGGTGTCAAACATATCCAATTGCTGCCAATGGCGGGAGAGGAGATTGTAATATTGGGTGACAAACAATTCTCCTTGACAAAGATCGTGGAGGATAGTTTCAATCTCAAATATCTCCGAAGTGTTTTCTTTACTCGAGTAAAACTCCTTTGCTGCATCCCAAATTTCATGAGCCGTGTCATAGAGCAAAAGTTCTCACCAATTTCGTTAGTCATTGAGTTGACTAACCAAGACATGACCATATTATTCTCGGTCTTCCAGATTCTGAATTTTGGATCTCCTGCCTTTGGTGGAATGACTTCACCGGTGAGATACTCTGTCTTTCCTTTCCCGCAGATGTACATCTTGACGGACTGCGACCATTAAAGGTAGTTGTTCCCATTCAGTTTATGACCTGTAATGGGAAGAGAGATGCCATCGTGATTGCTGGGAATGAGGATTTCAGAACCGGGTGTATCCTTGGACGAGGGTGAGGCTTGTTTTCTTGTGTCCATGTTGTTGTTTGGTAACCGGAAAGAGGAGTTTTCTGAAGGGTTTAGGGACGGCAAAGGTCTCTGGAAGAAAGGTTCAGAGGCTGCTCTAATACCATGAAGATTTTTGGGAATGAAATTTTGTATCTTCATTAATTTTCTGAATAGGAGAACGTACATATAAATAGCAGAGAAGAGAAGAAAAAAAAAAACATTCCCTGTAATCAAGGGAATTAATGTGTCGACCTACCTAAAAGAGAAAACGGGAAACACCTAAAATATACTTCTATTCTAGGAAACATATCACACTAATTACAGTAATATAATACTAATTTACAGCTGTGAAATCCTAGAAACCAGGACAAGAATCTTTGGTTTTCCACATTTTGTAATAGAACAAACAAAAACTTAGAGAGAGAAAGCCTTGGCAGTGA